ATTTAAGTAATTATGGAATTTTAGAAAATTCTCTGATTTTCAATATAAAACGAATTCTATAAAATAATTCATATTTATTCAAATAAACTTTGAAGTTAGTTAATATAGTTCTATTTGTTGTAGAAATTTATAAAAACCTTACAGTTGTTTCAAGCAAATTCTCTCGAAATAGTTCAAATTATAATTTAAGAAAAAACATTTCATTTATTATAAAAAAATCTGATATGAGTCGGCATATAACCGATCGCAAAGTGTATTTTCCGAAAATATTTATTAAACACTTCTCATAATACATTTGAGATTGTTTAATAATGAGCGGATTAATCAATGGAAAAGAGTTTTAGACACAAATGAATTTGTTTGCAATTGTTTCCTTTTGATATTTTATTTGGTAGTACTTTTAATCAATAAAATGTAGTTTGATAATTGAAGATGGAAAATTGCATTTAGGAAATTTTTAATTTTCTTACTAATTTGCTAATATATTCTCTGTGTATATAAACACCGTTTATACATTTGATATCAGTAGAAAAAAAAGCATTGAAAAGAAATGAACAAAAGTCAGTCTAGTTTTTTTTCTCATTTTTTGTACGTACATAAATTGGTTAGATATAAGCGAGTAAATGAGTATGTCGTGTTGTGTATTGTGTTATATAAATATATATATCAATATACATACAATTAAAATATGTACCTTAAAAATAATTTGTGTTTTTTTTATTCAAAAGGATATTAAAGAAGAAATGGAAGAAAAGAAAAAAAAAAATTTTTTATTTTTTTCTTCCTTTTTTAAGGTTCTATTTATTTTGTTTCTATCTTTGAATAATGAAAACATAGATACGAGTACCTATGTAAACTTTTTATATAATAAACGGCCCCTAATATACATGAAAGTGTGTATTAAAGCGAAGAATATAAGAAAAAGAAAAATAAAATGAAATTAAATTCCCCTCACTTCTTGAAATCAATAAATTTAACTTATGGTGTGTGTATGATAATCAACTTGATGGGTTTCTTTCCGTTTTCAGGGAAAACAAAAAAGAAAATAAAAAAATTAAAATAATAAGGAAAATGAAATTATTCACTTTATTGATCTCTAACTGGTATTCAATTCTCAACAGAATAATTTGACCTTGAACCTTGTTATTGTCTGTGTGTTGTTATTTCGTTAAATACGATACCAAAGGAACAAAAATATCATAATCTAATATTATATAATTTTACATATATGTATACATACCAAAACTCGGAAACTGCGGAATATTGAAATATCAACGTAGTTCAAATTTATGTGAAAAAGAAAAAAGCTAAATAGAGAAAAGCCCAGAGGAAGGAAAAATGTTAAAATATTTTTTTTTTCCTCTTCATAATTTAATGGTTAATGAATACAAAAAAAGCAAAACTTTTTACATTTTTTTTTTTTTGATTTCAGAAAGGTGATTTCAAATAATTGAGTACTAATTAAGGATTATAATTATAAAAAATAAGCATACAAAAAAGAGAATTTCAAAAAGCATTTAAAGATAAAAGGATATCTTAAAGAAATGCAAAAGTAAAAACAAAAAATTTTCTTTTCCATGAAAATTATGTTTGCCAAATTTTAGAAAAGTTCAAAAATTATTGAAAATTAAGTGTCAGGAAATGCTAAACCAAATTGAAAATTAAATTGTTAGAGATTTTACTGTAAAAAAAAATTTTAATTTTAACTTTAGGTCAAGAAAAACATTTGTACTTAAAATATAAATTTAAATTCATAGATTTTTATTTTATTATTTTGTATTTAAAATACTATTCATTGTAGAAAATGTGACAAGAATAATTACGGACAGAAAATGTGACAAGAATAATTTCAGCTGACTCTATCTGCTATAATTTGTTTAATTAAATTTATTCTTCATCATTAATGAAGAATTTAAAGCATATTTTTATTTTTCAAATAAATATTAAATAGTTAATATGGCGCCGGGTTCTTGTTTCATACACAACAGTTCTATAAGTTCAAAATTGATTTCAATTCTGTACAGATATTTTATATTTTTCAGTTATCGGACTCTAGTGTTATTGCTTAAAAAGAAACCTCAAAATTGTACCTTACGTGTTTCAATCAACATTTTAAAAAAAGTTTTTTTAATTTAAAATGTGTCAATAAGTATAGCATCCTTTTTGAATACTTTTTACTATAATCGCATCAAAAATTATTATCGGATTCCAAAGTATACACAAATATACACAAATATATAAACTTTCATGATATATTATATTTACTGGCCGCCACACATCGCTATATGACCTTATTAAGTACAGATTTTTTATTCTGCTTTTTTGATTTCTTTCATTATGAACATAAATTATGTACATTTTCATCCTTTGTATACCATCATAGAAAATTACTATATTCTACCTATACATACATATTAATACTATTGAAGAATAATTCAATGTAATGAAATCTTAAAAAAATGTTAGCAGATAATATAGCTGATTATAGCATATTTTAGCTATTTCAGTTAAATATATTGTAACAAAAATGCAAATTTTCATTTTGTTGTAATTTACTCGTGCCACACGATATCAGATATAAAAATGTATAACAATGCTACTTTTCATAATAAATAAGGAATATGGTATTATGATGATTTCTATTTATAAGGATTATTTTATAATATATACACATAGGTATACACAATTTATATTTGTGCACAAAATATTATTAGTGAAAATCAATACATATACGTTAAGAAAAAAAAACAAGGACTACAAGAGAGTTGTAAGAAGAGAAAATTATAGCTTATTATTTGAAATATAAAACGCATCCCTCAGAAAAGAAAAACAAAAAGACTAAATCAAAAAGAAGTAGATATGAGAGACAAAGAGAAAGAGGGAAAAAAATATCATCCTTAATATGTCCTGAAAGGTATTACTGTCAAAACAGGAAGGAATAAATAAATGTTATTACCATAATCGAGCGCATATATTATTAAAGCTATACTTTTATCATTTTATCAGTTTTGTTATTTGTTTGTATGCCAGTGTAGTATATAGATATTTCTTGTATGATTTAAATAATATATAAGCACTAATAGAACGTAGAAAGGATATACATATTATATTTTAAGCTCAAGGTAAAGTATAAAGTATTATTTATAATGATATTCCAAAAATTCGATATATTATGTTTATATATTAGATACCTGACAGATATATATGCGAAGATTATATAAAAGAATGTAAGAAACAGACATCCTTGATGTTATATTTTCTTCTATAATATGATACGCATCTTCAATTCTTTCATTTTGATTATCTTTTCTATTTTTTCTTTGTTCTTCTTATGCTTTTAAATAAAAATTTATGTTCTAGGCGTAAATTACTTTAAAAAGGAAGTCAACTTGATTAGGGATATAATAAATTTATCCTGACTTATTTCCTCGTTTCAAATTTTTTGAAATGTTTACATTACATATATGTAAGTCAATAAAATTGAAATATTTTATTTTTGAAATAAATTGTATGTGTATTCTTTTTGTTTTGAAAAATTCATAAAAGAAACTTAAAAGGATTGAAAATTTTTTTTTTCTTGATATTACATATTTCGAAGATTTTCGGTTATTGTTCTTAATAAATTTTCTTCACAAATTTCTACGTTGATAAATTTTAATACGTTATGGGATTCATACATTTTTGTTTTACAATTGAGTATCATAAATGTATACAATAGTGTACATACAAATATAAATATGGAAAATTTCCCACGTAATCCAATTGGAAATTTTATTTTTTTTAGATGAAAATTAGAAAAACTTGCGCAAGAAATGTAAAGAAAATTTACATTATTTTTTTAGTTAACAAAATTTCTATGGCCATTTTTATTAAAAAATTACTTTAAGATATAAAACTTAAATTACACAAGTATTTCATCTGCAAACATAAAAAAAATTGTTCAAAAATTTTATATAATTAAAGTTGACTAAAACAATAAATGTCCTAGTAATAATAACTTAATTGTCGTAATGTTACTTTAAACTTAACTTTTTGTTTTGGTTTATTAATTTTTTCCAATATTTGTTTACAATAGTATAATTATTTTTGATTTCGAATTAAAACGATGTAAAGCAATTATTTTTCATTTTTAAAATATCAATGCGAAAATAATTGAAGTATAAGAGCACACACTATACAATAAAGTGTAAAGGACACAAAAAAAGCAAAAAACTAGGATAACCAAAAGAAAAAAAAGAACAAGTAATAATAGAAAAGTTTAAAAACAAAACTACATTCCCAGACGTTCAATGACTCGAATTTCAATAACGGAAAATGTATCAAAAAAAAAAATAAACTAAAATCAACACATTAATATCTACGCTTATGAATTATTCTCCAATATAACATGTACATATATACATTTAATATGTATGTATATGAATGCCTTCACAATGCCAATAGCTTATAGATAAATATTCTTGTTGAGTTCAGTTAATGTCTGAGAAAGGGAAAGGAGTAAGGATGAAAAAGGAACAATATATACAAAATAAACAAGAATAATGCCATCAGCAATAGAAGAAAAATAGTAACAATGAAAGTTTCTCTAGCAACTTTTACAATTCATATTAAGGATTCTGTAGGACGAATATAACTAGTTGTGCATATGACTTCCTTTTTTAACTTCACAAAAAATATTCTTTTTTTTTGGGTTTTAATTTTTTTTTTGAATGCCGACTCTCTAAGTTTCATGCCACCAACGGCACAAAATTTTCCAATAATCTTTTCGCTATTTTCTTTCTTTTTTCAGTTTTCTTTTTGTATATTTACACAAAAAATGGATTGAAGCTATAGACAGAAAACTATCAACTTTTTGAAAAAAAATATACTTATAAAGAACACACATCTCTTTCATACTTGTAACAACAAAAAAAAAAAAAATGCGGAAAAAAATAGAACAGAAAAGTTATAGTTAATAAAAATTAAGCATTTTTTTTTCTAGATTGTTTGTATTATATTACCAGGAATTCCTTGTTGCTGTTGTGATAACTGTGTTTCATCGTGTGATGAACGACGTCTCATTCTTAAATCTTCTCTTGATATACCTCCACCAATACCAGCTGATTGTCTACCAATTATACCGCTAAGATTTTGCTGTTGCTGCTGTTGTTGTTGCTGTTGATGCTGTTGTTGCTGTTGTTGTTGATGTTGTATTAATGCAGCAGCTGCGGGACTAGTTGGTAAAAAACCAGTTGCACTGCTACCACCGATCAATTGTTGTCTAATATGTTCACGTAATTCAGCAATATTAGTTGGAGCTGGTCCACTAATAGAAAAATCTTGTTGCATTTGTATAGAACGATGACGACTATATTGCAATTCTAAAGGTAAATTACGGTCCAAAGATCTCATATGATGTTCGACAGGTCCGCGTTTATTAATAATACCACTATTATTATTTGTAAGTGCATTTCCACTAATATTACTACCACTGCTACTGCCACTTCCGGTACTAATACCACTATGATCAGATTGTTGTTGCTGTTGTTGTTGTTTTTGATGACGAAATTTAATTTCTTCAAATGCTGAACGTATGTTCGGATTTGATTCCATTGAACGTATATTAGAAACAGGTGCATTCAATGCATTTGTTGCATTTAACATTGCAATATTATCGAGACGCATTTGATCCATACTTAAATTCCGTTCTAATCCTCTTGTTGGATTAAATTGATTTTGTTGTTCTGTATTTTGATTATTGATATCATTTAAATTTGATTTCCCCGTTTGATTTGGATTGTTAAGACGCATTGCGGGGTTTTGATTTTCTGTTGTGAAAAAAACGAACAACGTTGAAAAACAGTACGGGAAATAAAAAAAAAAATAATTTTACTTTCATTTTTTTTTTTGTTTTTTTTTTTTGAGTATTTCAGGAGCATTCAATTCTACTGATGTAAACGTTTTTTTTTATATCGGTTTTTCTATTAAAAATAGTTATAGAAAAATATAAACGAATACTGAAGCCCTTGCTTTAGATTTTAAATGAAAATTTACTTTCAGCAAACTTAAAACTATGGAGGATGTTGATGTGAAATTAGAGTATGCATTAGCAAAACTATTCACTCGGAAAAAATAGAAATTTTATAAAAACTTACGAAATATGAGATACAGTCAAAAAAAATGGATAAATAAATACAGAAAAAAATACATAAAATATGCAAGGCCCAGTTTGAAAGTAAAAAAGCTCTATAGGCTTTAAATATAAAAACAGAGGAGTTATACCAAAGAATTGATGCTCAGTTATTAAGCTTTGTGTTCTATTCAACCTACCTAGTTGTCTTCCAATGGAAAATTTTATATTATCTTGCAGAAGTTTTTGATTTGCAGCTGCAGCTGCAGCAGCTTCCATTGAACGTAAATTCATTTGTTCTTGCATAGCACGTTCCATATTACGAAGACCACTTTCAATACCTCGTAAGGCATCTTCAGAACCAAAATCTTCTGTTGGTGAAATAACCTTAGTTGGTATCTTTTTATTCACTTGTGGGGAATTGGTCGCAGTTGCTGGACTTGAACGAACATTTAATTGTGGAGAGTTTACATTACGAATACCAAATTGTGGTGAACTAGTAATTTTATCAGATGGAAATTTTTGAATTGGTTGTGGCGATCCTTGTAATATTTTATTTTCTTGTTGTTGTTGAGCTTGTTGCTGAAATTTATGTAACATCTGTGGTGTTAGAGAACCAACAGCTGAAATAGGCCTTTGTGGATGTGTTGATTGTTGTTGATGTTGTTGTTGTTGCTGCTGATAAGCTATCAAAGCAGCTGGTAATTGCGATAATGGTGTCCCAATACCACTATGAGGTCTCTCTTTAAATTTTGGCACTAGTTGTGGTGAATTTTGTGCGCTACCTGTTGCTGATGACGATGTTGTCGATGAAGCTGAGGATGGTTTCTGTGGCAGTGGCGGTGGGGCACGCGTTGGTGCTGGTGGTACTATTTGTTGTGTTGATGCTTGTGAATGTGATTGTTGTATTGGTAATTGTTGCTGATGATGTTGTATTTGTTGCGGTTGTTGTTGTTGTTGTTGAATTGGCTGTGGTTGATTTTGTATTTGTGCTTGTTGAGATACTGGTTGATCCGTTATTGTTTTTGTTTTAAGACTTGAACGTTTCGGTGGAATTTCTGGTGGTATACGATGATGATTATCTGAGCGAGCTGGTATATCAGGAACTTTTTTTAATTCAGTAGTATTATTATGCGTATAATGATGTAATGGTACGGGTGGAGGTGGGGGGTTTAATGGTTTATGTTGCATTTGTTTTGCTCTTAAAGCAGCTTGTGCAGCTAATTCCGATGTTATTTTAGGTATTTCTGGACAAATATCAGAAGATTTTTCTGAGTTTGTTGCATTTGCTACTGATTGTTGATTAGATTGCGACATTGTTATAAATAAATTATAGATTTATTTATGGAAAATTTATCAAAAAATTTATCTTCTTATATTTTTTTGTGCGTTTAAATTTTTAATTAAATTTTTTGACCGAACAGAAAAAAAAAAAATAATTTATATTAATAATACTGATAATTTTTATTTTTTTTTATATTCTATAAATATAACATACACGTTCTTAACATATATTTAATACACATTTATTATACTAATTTTTAAATGATATGCGTTTTATTCGTTAGTTATTTTATAATATTTTAAATATATATGATTATATAGGGTTATATATAGATTACGTTGTTTTATATATGTATGTACGATTATAGGAAAATATTATTAATAAAAAACTGAAGCCGATAAAATTTGCATATAATTAATGATAATACACTTTGATTATAATTATAATTATTATTATACATATATATATATATATATATATATATATATGTGTATTTGTGACTATTGAATTGATATACCAATATTTTATTAATTATATGGACTTAAGATATTAAACATTTATGTATATATTTTTTAGATATATATGGATACAAGTGGCATGAACATATTATATATATCAAGACATGCTAATAAATTGATTAAATACGGCATTTAAATTAATAATGTTGTATTAACTATATATTATGTATATAGATATGTAGTAAAACACTATGTATTCAATTTAATTTTAATCATTATTATTAAATTCTTTTATGATAAATATTATTACTTTTTTTAAAGCTTCTTCGATGATATATTTTTTTTTTCATAAAATTTAATTAGACATTAAATTCTCTTATATATAGCTTTTTTTTTCTGATATTATTAATTTTGATTTTATTTCTATTAGACATAATAATATTATTTAATTAACTTTATATATTCTTTTTATAAGCATTTTTACTCCAAATTGTATTATATGAATAGCAATTCCATTATATTTTATTTTATTTTATTTTTATTACCATACACACTTTTATCACATCGCTTAATTTTAAATTAAATTATATATGAAAGGGTAATGATTGAATTAAATGCATAAAATTTAATATTTAATATATAAATATTTTTATGTTGTAAATAATATAGGATATTAATTAATTATACAATTTTAGAATCATGATTATGTAGATTACCTTAATATTACTCTTTTGGATATATTATTTTTTGATTATACACTTATAATTAAAACTATAATTTTGTTCACTCTTGAAACATATTCCAATTTAAATTACATTTAGTTATTATTGTATAGTTTGTATGTATATCTCGATATACATATATTTTATTTTATTTTAAAATTTTGTAATATTTTTATTAATGGGAAATTTCAATAATTATTTTATTTTTATCTCATTTCTTACATTTTTTCCAATTTTAAATATTTTTGTTTATGGTAGTAATTTAATTATTTGAATATTTTAAAATATTTAATATTTCATGTATTTAGAAAGATATTTTAATTCTTATCCTCATATATAAAAACACAATATTGTAATAAATTTGTATTATGATTATTAAATTCTTATTTCTTATTCAATAATTTGAACACATCGATTATTAAATTTTATACAAATATATTTTTTGTAAATTTTCAATTTCCAATGAAATTATTATTTTTTTTTGATTATCATATTTTTCCACTTATACATACACTTTATTTCCAATTATACATGCACTTATTTTGATTTAAATAAATTGATTACCACTTTTTTCACTAATTTTATATATGCTGATTATATATTCCATAATTTTCATATAAATAGACATTACTATGTATGCATTTGCAATATTACGTATAATATTATGAAAATTTAAATTATAAGTTATTTTATCTTTATATAAATATTATAAATTTATTATTATTATTTTTATGAATTTAATAATTTCGTTATAAATATGTTGTTGTTATCAATATTTATATATAAAAATGTATTTACCATTACAATAGGTAACTATAAAAAAGATTTATTTGAAATTTTAAATTTTGCAAAAAAAAAAGGATTTAAATTTATAAATTTCAATAATAATTGTTGTAATAAAAATAATAACCAATTTCTCAATTTTTTTAAATAGCTAAATTATGAACGATTAAACATTAAATTTTTTATACGAAAATAATTTGTATATCGTATATATTTCAGTGAAAATTTTGTAATACAAAATAATATAAAAGATGAAAAACATATTTGAATAGATTTATTTTATCTGGACATAATATTTTGTATAATAGCATTTTGTATCATCGATGTATTTATATTTAGTATAAGAAAAAATTACGGATAGGGACAAAGCCCTAAAAACATCCTCTATTATTTTTTTAATATTGAAATAGAGTAGACCTAGTACCTATACCTCAATTTTTTATTTTTCCGAAATTAAGTAACAACTTCAATTGCGAAAATTTATATCGACATGAGTATGTAGGAGATATTTTAACAATTATCTACTATTATATTCACTAAATCTAATGCCCCAAATTCATTAAATTTCCTTAACTTTAAATAATTACATTTTTTATTTTTGAACATTGATGCTTTGGTTTGAAAAAATTCTTTAATTCCATAAAATGTTAACAATTTAATATTTTTTAATAAAATAATTTATTTTTTTGATAATTATTATGGATATTTGTGTATGTAAATAAAAAATTTAAATATTATTTAATATATTTAAACTTTTTTTTATTAAATTGGAAACAATTTAATTTTGTTATGAACTACAAATTTTTTTGTTATTAGGTTTAATTTTATTAGGAAATTTAATAAAATTGAAATAACAAAACCATATATAAGTATTAGGTGTAGTAAATAAATATATAATATAGGTATACATGCAAAAAATATGGGGATAATAACAATAAACTTAAATAATAATAATATTATTAAAACTGAAACGACAAAATGAATAGCAAATAAATCATTTTATGAATGTAGATTTATATGTAAATATGTTATAATAAGTTATTTACACTGTTTTATATGAAAATTTGAGAACAAAGTAAAATAAATTTTAATTTTGTTAATTTTAGTACAAGCACATAACATGTATGTATGTATGTACGTAAACATTTGCATATATAAGCATACTGTAATATCCATAATCCATATATGATGTTTTATAGTCTACAACCTTTTTTTTCTATTTGGCTCTTTTTCGAATATTTGTGGAATGTTTTTATTACAAATTTATTCTGATAGGAAGAAAAAAAAATGAAATAAAATAAAAAGTGGAATGAAAAATTTTCATCCTTAAGTTCCCTTGAATGTTTCATTTTTCTTTTGGTTACGTCTCCTTTACAATGGAAGAAAAAAACAAAAAGGATAAGTCTTATTATTTCAAATATATTTCCAGTTTTTTTTTTTTTTTTTTATATTCCTTGGTATGTGCACAAATAATTTTCTGTCGTAACACACTTGAGACCGAAAACAACAAAAAAGAATTCTTATATCCTGACCCTTCTCTCTTTTCATGAAATTTTTTCTAACGGCACAAAAAAAAAAAAAAAAAAAAAAAAAAAAGAATTTTAACTTAAAATGTCCACAAATCTCGATAACCAGAATTTTTTTTTCTTTTATTTTCGCTTTTTTCTTTTAAACATTTTCTCTAAGAATTTTTTTTTTTATTTTTTTTCTTCAGCCATGTGTATTTTTAGTCCCGCTTGGCATACATAGTTTGCTTTTTTGCTATTTTTCTTCTATTTTTTTTTCTTTTATGTTTTATGTTTAATATTTTTCTATCCTTTTTTACTATTTTTTTGTTTTTGATTTTTGGTTTATTTCTACTGTTTGCTAAATCCCCTTTTTTAAGTTTTCAAGAATAAAACAGTCATAAATCTTTATTTTGTTTTCAGTTTTTATTTTTTTTTCTTCTCTTCTGCTGTATTAAAAGCCATTACACTTATATATTATATAAAGGTTCTTTTTTTCTTTACCCTTAGTTTTTAAATTAATAAATTGTATACGTTCCAGTATACACTTAAGATACGTAAACTTATATCAACGTACCTTACAAATTAGAATTTTCTATATATAATTATGTGGAAATTGTATTTTTTAAAATAATTAAAATTTTTCAAGAATTTTTTTTTAATTTTTCTCTCATGAGCATTTAATTTGCAAAATGCATAGATTCACGTTAATGCAAAAGAATATTAAGCCCCACATTTCATTGGAAGTTTTTTTTGCAGTGTACAACTACTTTTTTTATAATTTTACTATAGTTTTTCTGTGTGAAAATAATGCTCTAATTTTTGTTTTTGTAAATTTCTAGGATGAAAATTCTCTAAAAACGCTCTTTTTATTAAACAAATTAAACAGAAAATTTAGAAACTCTCTTTTTTTTTGCTTTGAGTAGAAATCTTGTGAGAAATTTTCTCTTCCGGTTCATATTCTCTTTATTTTGAAGTTATTTTAACTTCACCAATATATTTTTTGAAATAATAAACAACATATATTAAATAATATAATATATATATTTATTATTTCTATTTTAAAAATGTATTAGTAAAAGCAACAGTATAAATTTTCATATTGATTTGTCTCACATTTTATTTTCATTAAATGATGTTGTTTGAAATTTGGAATTACAAATCGAAAATGTTCTTCAAAAATTTCATCATATAAACTGTAATATTTTTTCTGAATTGTAATATCAAAACTGTAATATCAAAATTGGTGAAGGTTATTCTAAATCTTTTCTGTTTTAAAATATTCAAAAAAATTTTGGAAATAAAAATATTTTATTGTAATTTAAAAAGCACATTTTAAATATGCAGGCATGATAAATGTTTAAAATTTATATTCCTTTTTTTACTGCTTAACAATTCCGGTACTCTATTTTTAAATACAGTTATGAATTTTTATACAAATATGCCTATACACATACCATTAAAGCGTAAAATAATATTTGTATTCTAACACACAAGTAAATAAAAATGTATGTTGTTCTAAAAACATAATGGTGAAATATTAGAGTAGCATGTATGAAAAACAATATTATAAGTGTGTTTGTTTGCTTTTATAGAGTAATATTGAAGTAGTAACGCAAACTTAA